CTGGCACCCCTCTATGGCGGATCGCGTATCGTATGCTGCCCTGGAGGAGGATCACGTGATCGCGTATTGGGAATTGACCATTACCTCGAGATCACGAAAGCGATGGTCACCGCTGACCCTGATCTCTTCATCTACCACCAGGATCTGCGTCAGCGACGCATCCGCGTTGAAGAAAGCTGGCGGAAACTGTTGGGAGAGTGCCTCCTAATGATGAGGCGTCAGTGGGCTGATATCGACGTCCTGCTGGATCCCTATTTTCTCCACTTACCGACAACCCGGGATTGGGTACGCTGGTATCCCGGATCGGTTTCCAGGGCGGCCAATCTCGCACAGCCGGCCGCGAATCTCCCCGAGCCGACCGACCTGACACGGCCTGTTTGAGTGCGATCAGGCGGATCCCTGGAGGAACCATTACCGCGATCCCGGTACCGCTCATGCATCGCTACAGATCCCTCGTCTCGCAAACAAATTCAACCCTCCAGCGGCTCCTTGATCGTAGACCTGACTTCATTTCGGGGATAATGTCCGTGGTCCCCACTCTTATCCCGCGATACCGTAATTCTCAATTTCAGCCACATCTTTGCCTGTTTGCTCGTTTTGTCGTTCCTCCCAAGTGATCTCGCTCCAGACTTACCACGCCTTCCGCGATCCCTTACGAAGGTCGACATTTCCTATATGAACATACAACATGAACTTCTGGTCTTCGTCTCATCCGACTTCCACTTCCTCGGGGTGTAGACGATCAGACAATCTCACCCGTCCTCCTTACATCTCCTCTTGTGATTGAATCACATTGAAGCGGTTTCGATTTGCTCGTTCTCGCAGGAAGGTGTTCAGTATTGCCCCGCAGTTGAGATCGGCATCGTCGGCCAGGTTGGCTCGTCATATCCTGCCCAATGCACCAGGAATTCTCGGTAGATCCGACCAAATCCCGTCTTCTTTCCACTCCGCACAACCGAGATCCGCTCGACTTCGTACTCGCGGGCCCGAGATCTGTCCTCCGGAAGCAGGATTTCATCGAAATCGAGGCGATCTGATTCGTCCACCGTGAGTTCTACTCGCGGCCGATCCGGAAAGTCCTTGACCAATTTCAGCTTCGACACGTGAACCACTGGGAAGATCTGGTACCCAGTACCCACAATCTCGAGCTTGATTCTGAATTCGTTGATTGTATCTGCCACTCGGAATAGCCCATGCCACATGTGAGCAAGGTTCCGCTCGTATCCTTCCTTCACCGGTTCTAGGTATAACCAAACGCGAGATCCAGCCTCGATCTGGTGCGACCCGAAGTCCTCGTTGTGTCGGCCAGCCTGATCCGCGATGGCATCCTTCAATCTAGCGTTGACTTTCTCTCGGGACTGCTGATAGTATCGCTTGATTCGATAACGCCACCGCCGCACGTCTCGATTGCGCCGTCTGGTACAACCGACTGGCAGTGTAGCCTCCAGCGTCGATCTCGGATACCAGATAGTGAGGGTATCCCCTCGGATCCGATTGTGAGCTGTGTTGATCGCGAAGGTAAGTCGCTCAGCATACTTGTCCCAATCCTTCTGATCCAGATCGCGAACATACATCTTGAGCGCCCTGGTCGCCGTTTGTACCATTCTTTCTGCAGTCCCGTTGGCTTGTGGCCGATATGACATCGCTGTCCCAGGATCTTGTCAAACGCCCGGAAGAAGTCGGACATGAACCCGGGTTCTCGATCATGTCGGATCATCTCGCTGGCACCGAATCGCCGAAATACGCACTCTTCGTATGATTCCGCGACCGTCTGGGCCGACCGGGAAGAGCTAGCTTTCGCGATCACGTATCCTGTGAACAGATCCACCCAGATCAAAGCTACGTATTCACCTTGTGGGATCTGGGCCGCGAAGGTATGTGGTCCATCGCAATGATCTGGAACGGGTATGTCGCCTACAAGTTCCCTGGTGATTCACCCCGGATCATGGGTTTTCCTTTTCCCGTTTCACAGTCCACGCATTCCCCCACATATCGTTGGACGCTCCGATATAATCCTCTCCAGTGGAAGTGGTCCGTGAACGCTGGTAGGTACGCCCCACTCCACGATGTCCTCCTTCCAACGTAATGTGATAGTGATGTAAGACGTCCGATTGCAGCGTCTCGGGTACTTGACGCGTTGTGATTGGAGGAAAATTCTCAGCGACTCATTCCTACTAAATTGGTCTAGGGTTGTGTCAGAAACTGTGGAGTGTGACTATTGATATTCGTTGATGATCTATTTGATGACATACGATAGATATATTTCCGGTATCCAGAAGATGGGTACACGAAAGAAGATGGATTGGCGAAAAAGAAAGTGATATGGATACACCAATGTATAAGTGGAGTGATGGTAAGGCTGGACTATCACCATGCTGACGGGCCGCGACCGGTGTCGAGAAGTGACTTATGGATATCGAGGTATCGCAATCAATGGATGTGTGGATCTGAGTCTGGGGTTCGAAACTCTGACTATAGTTCAGACTATATGTTAATGACCGACCAGCCCGACCGACCAGATATGTTATGCACTTGAAGATCCGAGGATGATTGCGAGTGTCGACCTATATTGAGACCAAGTTTATTTCGCATGTGTTAGAACTATTAGAAGGGATTGACAGAGAGACTTATATTTTAACAGAGAATTCGTTTTGCCACCGAAAGCACAAGCACCTTCAGGCCGTCTTTTGTTTGTGAGCGGTAGTTGTGTGTCAGCGGAGAAACAAGGAGTCGACTTTCGGGCAGCGTTCCTGAGTGACCCCAAGTGGAGTCTTGTGTGTGGACGTATCGACAGGGAACCAACTCGGCACGTCGTCTTCGAGTAATTTATCAAGCCCATTTCGGTTAGTGATCGGGCGACGCGCGCTCGAGGTGATCTGCTGATTTCATATTCTAGTTGGTCGTCTGGATAGACTTCCATTTCATATTAGCTGCT